CAACCGAAAGAGCAACCGAAAGAGCCTGAACCACAACAACCGAAGGAGCAACCGAAAGAGCCTGAACCACAACAACCGAAAGAGCAACCGAAAGAGCCTGAACCACAACAACCGAAGGAGCAACCGAAAGAGCCTGAACCACAACAACCAGAGCAACCGAAAGAGCAACCGAAAGAACCTGAGTCTGTAGCACCGAAAGAAGCGCCGAAAGGTCCTGAGCCAAAAGTTCCTGAACCACCAAAGCAAACCTGCGCTTCTCCTGATGATCCTGGATGCAAACCTCCATCAGGAGTGTAAGTGTATATTATGTAATGAATAATGTTAATGATTTTCGATTTACTAAAATCCTTTTCCATCAATAGTACTCCGAAAGTTGAGACATCTATGCAAACATCAATAGAAACAATAATGCCAACTCCAGATAATGATGATGGGAATAATGGGAATAATGGAAATAATTATGGGAATAATGATGGGAATAATGGGAATAATAATGGGAATAATGATGGGAATAATAATGGGAATAATGAAAAGAAAAAAAATAACAATGATGATAAAGAAAATAAGCCGAAGAAACATAAAATAACTACTTTTACAACAATCACAACCACAGTTACATTATATTATGCCGGTTATACCACAACAATTACAACAACTAACTCTTTAGGAAAAACTACAACCTTCGCAGAATACATTCCTCCATCCACTGTAATTGTGGTAAAAACAATGGTCTCACCAGTCTCAATTGAGGATAACCTATCGAGTACGACGATAAGATTACACGAATTTAATAGCCACAGCTTGTGGGGGGTTACATTAAGTTTGATTGTAGTCGTCGCAACTTTAGTTATTAGTGTTTTCGCGTAATTTGTAAAATGAATATTTATTAGTTAGAATATATCTTTTGTGCATAATAAAATTGATAATTTATAAATTTACAAAGAATTTTTAGTATCATGTCTATCGATGTATCATGAGATTCAGAAAACATAATTATTATTTTAACGAATTGATTATGAGCTAAACAAGATATATATATATATATAAAATATTGTTTGAAAATCTCATTCCTTTATTAACATTATAGACATGAGGTGAGGTTTATGTTTTACCGTTTCTATACTGGGAATTCTTACTAATAAGTCAAACTATTTTTAGATTCAATATTTTAAATGTTTTAGATTGTAAATGTGGATTATTTAGAAGCTTTAGGGCAATATTAAATTGTGTATTATTATTTGATTTCATGTTAAATTTTTTAGTGATGGGAAATTTATAAAAAAAAAAAAAAAATGATTACAAGAAAAGATTATTTATTATCAGTCTATTTAAACGTCAAATTTTTTTTTTATCGGGGCGTTAGTTATATATTAGCTATTACCATTTAATCGCCGATACCTCAATCCGCCGTGACCCTGATGATACCTCTGATTTTCGGTAAATAACTATTACATACATTTGCTTATATGAAGATATATTAAAATACATAAAGTAGCTCTTAAAATTCTTAATGTTTCGTCAAATTCTCATGAAGAGTTTTTAAATTAGGTATTTTGATCAATTATATTGATTCACCAAGATCAAAAAAAAAATTTAAAAAAAGTGATAAATAGCCTCCTAATATTATAATCTCAAATTTTTTTAGTCGAATTGCATCACTAATTTTTGGATTCAATACTAAATTAATTATTAATACATATTATGTATCACGGAAGACAGAACGATTGCTTTAATTTCAGAAATTCATGTTTTATAAATATTGATTTTGATGACTGTAAACTTATTAATGTTTTTTATAAGAATGATATAAATATTTAAATGAAAAAAAATAAATTATATCAACTATTACACAATTAATATAATTAAATTACAAAACTAGAAATGAAACAGTTTGATTATTTTCATTGGAATTAAATAATTAATGATACAATATAACAACCTGTGATGAATTTTCTTTTTATAACAGAAACCACTTCTTCCAAAATATTTTTTTTTCCTTTTTTTGAGGTAGTTTTACATTAAATATAATTCCGCCCAGAGACACCATAATTTCTCATGTAAATTGTTTTCGATATTTTCAGTTAGTCCTAATATATATATATATATTTTTTATATGAGCTGGAAATCCTTAAACAGCTCAAAATAACACTCTTGTATTTGCATACATATACCTTAAAAAAACCTTCCTTTATCCCTTTTCGCTTTTGCCATTTTAACATTTTTAATTTTATATTTGTTTTTAATTTCCGATTTTTCTTATGACTTTATTACACAATTTTTTTGCAATTGCGTAGTTTTAATTAATTGAAGCTTTATTGATTGGCATTTATTTAGTTTAATATATTGACATTGCGAAAGTGTAGAGCGTCGACTTTGAGGCAACACTGATTAATTTGATATTATTAAATAAATTTAGCGTCAACATTACTTCACTTTTACTCAATAAAAAAAACCTTCTGCTTACATTTTAAAATTGTTTATAAATACATAAATGAAAGAACTGGAAAACCAGTAGGATTGGATCGTTCTGTTAATTTCGAGGCATCAATATCATTTGTGTATACCTTTTATGGATAATTGTTTTTTAAAAAAATCAGGTTTGAAAGACCGTCACAATCACGTGATTTTGTGAATATATTTGATAGTTCCCGCCAGAGTTAAGATGATTAGCCTTAATAGTTCACTCCCGATTAAAATTCTAAATTTGGGTATGGTCTGGTTACTCAACCTAAAATTGACATAAAAAAAAACTTGTCTGTTGTAAAACAACCTAACCTTATTTCAAACACTTTCCTCCTAAAAAAAAAATGACGGCACAATTCTTTTCAAATTTGAGTCAAAATTATATTGAATTAATGGATGATGAAGAATATTATGATGTTATTGTAGAAGTTGGTGAGGTTTCCGAAATATTCCGTGCACACATGAATATTTTATGCTATCGTTCTCCATATTTTCGAAAAGTTTTGCCTTCAAATAAAAAGAGTAATGATAATAACATCGGGGCTCATTTGAAATTACCAAATATTTCACCAAAAGCCTTTCAAATTATTTTAAAGTAAGCTGTTATTGGTAACATACAACTAACGTATATATTAATTATAATTTTTCAATATATAAAAACTCAATCCTCTCTTTTTCTTATAAATAATAGATATATTTATGGCGGAATCCTTTCATTTAGCGATCAAAACGTTTCAGACATACTTAACATCTTGACAATTGCTGATTATCTATTACTTCAAGAGCTGGTTGATTATTTACAAATATTTTTAATTGAAAATAAATCCGAATGGGTGGAGCAACATTTTAATCTAATTCACCAAGCAAGCCTTCAATCTAATAATTTTCTTGAACTTCAACAATTTTGTAAGGATTTAATAGTTGAATCGCCCGAGAAAGCGCTTAAATCACATGACTTGTCTTTACTCTCTGAAAATACTTTAAAATCAATCATAAAGAGGGAGGATTTGGCGATGAAGGAAATTGAAGTTTGGGAACATGTGTTAAGATGGGGTCTTGCAAAAAGGCCAACCATTATTCCTGATCCCGCAACTTGGTCTGATGATGATTTCAAATCAATGGAAGTAACCTTGCAACATTGTTTACCTTTGATCAGATTTTTTAGCTTATCCTCGAAGGATTTTATACGAAGAGTTCGTCCATATGAAAAGCTTTTAGAACATCAACTTTATGAAAAGTTGTTAGCATACCACATGGATCCAGAAACTGAAGTTGAATATAGTATTTTACCTCCTAGAGTTGCAAATTTAGATGCAAAACGTTTTGATTCAAAGATCGTTAGTATCAATGTTGCCTCCTTAATTTCCACATGGATAGATAAAGTGAGTGGTAATAGCGTTAGAGGATTATACTTGCCATACAAATTTAAATTATTATTGAGGGGTAGTCGAGACGGATTTACTCCCAAAGCATTTCACTCATTATGTGATAATAAACCCATGACTGTCACCTTCATTAAAATAAAAGAATCGGAGGAGATCGTCGGTGGTTATAATCCTCTAGTATGGAAATCTACTAATGGATGGGGCAAAACAAAAGATAGTTTTATATTTTCTTTTAAAAATAAGGATGACGTGATCGAGGATGCGATTTTAAATAAGGTCGGGGATGCGGCTCATGCAATAAATTATGGAAAGAGAAACGGACCTCGATTCGGTTTCTTTGATCTCGTGATGTATTCATTTTTAAGTGAATTAACCGATTATAATATAATTTGTTGTCAAAAAAATCATTATCAAAAAAAGTTAAGGGATAATGATGATGCTTTTGCCGTAGAAGATTATGAAGTATTCCAAATTATCAAGAAATAGAATCTTTTTTTTTATTTATTTTATCATGTATTTTAAATATGTATAAAGTTATTTTCGAATTTAATAAACATTACCAGTTGTATCGATTATTATTTATTCCCCCTTAAATTAATCTATACAGCGTTATTAGAAGTTTACGATGTTTTCAGTTGTGGATGATTAAATATATTCCGTGCGCACATGAACATTTCTCCTTAATAACAGGGCGATTTAGAAATAAAACATTTTAAACATGCATTTACTCACATTAATGTAATGATGAATTTCAAAATTCCGTCAGAAAGTCTTGCGAACCTTTATTTTTGGTTACTTAGAAATTTTTACGTTACATCATTTCTAAGTGCACTTTTGTTATTTTTTTTTTTTCCAAGAATTTTTCATGCAATATTTTTAAAAAAAAAATCAAAAGCTTTCGATGTTCTTAATTTAGGAAACATAATGCCAATAATTTCAAATGAGGGAATAATTGGATTCAAGAGCTATTGCTAAAAACCATATCAAATGTTACGAATATAAACATTTTAAAAACTTTCAAGAAATTGGCCATGGGAGTTTCGGAAAAGTCTATCGTGTAAATTGGAAACATTCGTTCATGAGGTATTTATAAATATAATGCATGCGTAATTTTTGTATTTCTAATTTAAAAGTTTGGATTATGGTTTAGCTAAACACTTCATCGTGATGTTGTTTCTTTTTTATTGTATTACATCATTCAATCAATGGTATGATATAAATATATTTATGAGTAAGTACACTTCACTTGTAAGGTTAAAATTTAAGAATTATTAGTGAAAAGCTAAAGACGTTTTTAATCGAAAAAGTATCTTTTGGTAATGGAATACGCTGATGGGGTACCCTTCAAGCAAAGTTTTGGAGATTAGCATTTCAATTGACCATTGCTGTATCATATCTTATCTATGTGATGATGGAATTTTACATTATGATTTGGGTAATATTAAATAATTCATTATATTGCTTATATTCCGGCTAGTATTGTTAATTATATAAGGATCATCAGCTAAACAACGACCAAAAGTTTTTGGTGTTGATCCAAAAAAAATTTAATATTCAACAATATAAACTAAATGAAAAAAAAAGTGTTGGTGTACTTTTATGGAAGATATGATGTTAGTTTAGCTATGAACATTTTGCAAGGCCTAAGAAACAACTATTCCTGATACATCCTGAAGGTTATTTGAAAAATGTATACCGATATTATTCACATATCTTTATGTCTTTGATTATTAGTGTGTTGGGATAGTGAACCAGACAAACGACCAGTTATGAATCAAGTGTTTGATAAATTAAATGCATCTTGCTGAATCTTCTAGTCTAGTATTAATAATTCATTACAGGGCATGGGGATTATCTCGACTTATTTAACATTTGATCAAATGGATGTAGAAGTATTAATCATTGTCTAAGACAACAAATTAATAGTTTTAACCATTGATACTAATATGGGTGACTTAATAAACGACACTTTAAGAGGATTAAAAAGGTATCGAAAATTTACAGAACTTTATTGTAATA